ATATTTTTAGTTGATTTTTTTGGAGAGTGGAGAAAGTGAGGAGGGGGAGGAGAGAGAGGACCATCAATGTGAGAGAGATACATCAATTGGTTGCCTCCCACATGCACCCTAACCAGAAATCAAGCCTGCAACCCAGGTATGTGCCCTTGACTGGGAATCAAACCCAAAGAGTCCGAGGGTCGTCACTCTAACCACCAAGCCAAACAGGCCAGGGCTAACCAAAATAGTTTTGACTTGACTTACTAGAAAAGGAAATTCAGACCCTATATCCTTATTTGTTTGCTTATTGTCCTTGTATTCTTATTAGAATTTTGTATTTTAAAAAATGCTCAATGTAAAAGATGTTCGGTTGTTTGTTTTTTGCTTTAATCCTTATCTTACCCCCCAGAGGTAGCCAAACACAAACCACATACAGTTAGTTCTGTGACTCTTTTTCATACAGTATATTGTGAGCAATGTACACTTTTCTTCTTCCAAACAGCAGCTGCACAGGCAGCATTGCACTGTAGGTCTGTCCCATGATTTATTGAACCTGTTCCTTAGTTTAAAAAAAAATTAAAGGTGTGTGTGTGTGTGTGTGTGTGTGTGTGTGTGTGTAATTATACTAGAGACCCAGTGCACAAAATTCATGCATGGGTAGGGTCCCTAGTGGCTGCCAGCCCACTTCCCTTCCCCACCCCCTCCCACCATGGCCACCACCTCTACTGTCGGCCCCACCCCCTAGTTGAACTCCTGGTCAAACTCCCTGTTGAGGGGACAATTTACATATTAGGCTTTTATTATATAGGATTATTCTGTCTACTTTTGTATGTGCTTGATTTTTTCATAATAAAAGTATTTTAAAGTTACTGTATGTAAATATTTATATATGTAAATAGTTAAAACTCAAAAGTACTAAAAGGCTTCTAACAAAACAGCAACCTCTTGCCTCTCCCACCCCATCTCACCCTTCAGAAACAACTAACAACATTTTTCAAGTCTTTCATTTATTGACTTGCTTTTTTGATAGATGATAATTTATTGGCATGTATACACCACCCTTTCTGTCCTCCCATTCTCCCAATATAATTATATCACAAAATTTTAAAAACACATATTCATTACTTTTATTGCTATGACTCCATGAGCCAAGTAGAAATGGAGTTTCTATTTTTTACAGCTTAAAAACAATTGCTTCATTTAAAAATGTGCTTAGTTTTGCCCGGCCAGCATGGCTTAGTGGTTGAGCGTCGACCTATGAACCAGGAGGTCAAGATTCAATTCCCAGTCGGGGCACATGCCCAAGTTGTGGGTTCAGTCCCCAGTGTGGGGCGTGCAGGAGGCAGCCGATCAATAATTATTTCTCATCATTGATGTTCTATCTCTTTCTCCCTTCATCTCTGAAATCAATAAAAAAATATATTTTTAAATAATAGCAATAAATAAATAAATAAAAATGTGCTTAGTTTTCATTCAATAAATCTTCCCATGGCCTCTAGCACCTCTTATTATGGTTTTACACACACGGTCAGACTTCTCAATTTATGAGTCCATTTTCCCCCAAACTAATTCAGTTTGGCTTCTCTGGACCGGCCACACAGCTATGGACATAGGATTCCCTGAAGCCTCTCATCTTTCTCTAATTTTGGTAGAATACATCCCCCTATAGCTTTCTGAAAATATCTCTATTCTACTTTACTTGATTAGTTGTTGGCTGGGTATAAAACTCAGTCAAAACAAATTTTCCCTCAAGCTTGACACAATGGCAAGCTTGCAATGTTGCCATTAAAATTTTTGGGACCATTCTTATTCCCAGTCCTTGTGTGCACCTGTTGTTTTTTCCCTCTTTCCGCGAGATTTTAGGACTTTCTCTTTATCCTTGGTATTGTGAAATATCATGATGAACAGTAAATTAGTGTTTTTAATTAATTGTACTGGATACTAAATGGGCATTTCATTCAGGAAATTCAGGAAAAAACTCTTTTAATTCAGGAAAATCCTCTTTCTTTTTTTCTATTTAAGTAAATTCCTTTCATCAGTTTCTTCTCTCTTTCCTGACTTCCTATTATCCAATATTGAATCTCTAATTTATCTTTTGGCCTATTTTCATCTCTTTGCCTTTCTGTTCTTTAAAATCTTCTGCTTCCTTTATTGTTTCCTCCTATTAATTTATTCAGATCTTTCTTTCAATGTTGTAAGTTTTTGTCAGAAATGTGTGGAGGCATTTGGTGGTTTATATTTAAGAGTAAAGTGCTCAAGAGCTGACTGGAAGCCCCTAGAGCAGCCTGTGGGTCGCGACCCCTTTGGGGGTCGAACGACCCTTTCACAGGGGTCGCCTAAGACCATTGGAAAACACATATATAATTACATATTGTTTTTGTGATTAATCACTATGCTGTAATTATGTTCAATTTGTAACAATGAAATTGGGGGTCACCACAACATGAGGAACTGTATTAAAGGGTCTCGGCATTAGGAAGGTTGAGAACCACTGCCCTAGAGCATTCTGGAGACTGGTGGCTCAATCTGGTGGCTAGCTGAGGTTTTTTCCCCTGGGGAACCCCCTCTCCAAATCAGTTTCTGTAGGGCTTTATCGTTACTCATTATCCTGAAGCAGGGGAGAGGATTTGAGGCTCACCATTCAGAAAGTAAGCTTTAGCTTAATTTCCCCTCCCTCCTGGGGTGAGGAGCACATGGCAGCCCTGCATGTTATCAGCCCCCATCCCCTTTCCCATGATGCTTCTAATCCCTGCACCTCCCTGGGGTTCTCTGGGGCGGCCCCAGTTGCTTCACGTTATAACCTCCACACCCCACCCCTGCATTTAGGTGTCCCCTTTTCCCTCTCTGTTAGCACCATTCCTCCGTTCACCTTCTGTCTTTATATATTGTGATTTGGGAACAGCTTGAGCCTCACCTGCATCCCAGCTGGAGCCTGTGCTTCTGTTCCTTAGTGTTTTACATGACTTTTGAGAGGAGCAGCAGGAAAACTGCTGGGCTCTGCCATCTTGAAGCCTGTTAGATCCTCAAAAACTCTTGTTTGTAGAAACCTAGTGGAGTTGGGTCATTTTCCCAAATATGGAGAGAGGGCATAGGCCCTCGGCTAAAGAGGGATGTGCGGAGACCGCCTGGTGTGATATCCACACTCCCCAGAAGACCTCACCTGGCAGCGCCCTCCAGCACTGCTGCTCTCGCCTCACAGGGACCCCCTCTGGCATCCCCTCTGGTGTCCATTTCCTGTCCCTAAAGGCAGGCCAAGTCCCCAGCACCAGGAGGCCACAGCAACCTTCCAGCCAAGAGTTCCTATTTTTGACAATATGGAACTGTGTGTGTATTTTGTTTACGTTTTCCTCATCTCTGGGAGGTGTAGGGAATTTCCAGAAGATCACTGTTAACCGAAGCTGTGTAGTGGTGAATCCCATGAAGGGATGGAAGGGAAAGGGCTTAACAAGCCCAAGCGCTTCGTAGGAAACATTCCCTCCACATTGATCGGTAGCTTCCGTTCCTCATCCTTCCCAACTGAATCTGAGGTGGCTTTGTGGTCTCTCTCCTTCCCCCCCTTGGTGCCTTGTCAGCGGGCTTTCTGAACACCAGGGTCTACCCTCCGCAGCTAAAATGCCCTCGGGGTGGGTGTCTTAGATGCTACCTCTGCCATCACTTAGTTTGTGGATTTTATTAGCACAAATGAGGGTTTAGTAAAAGTAGGTTTACGGTTGTATGTGAAACACAGAGTTCATTCATGTATTATTATTGATTAATTATTGTTTTCCATACAAACAACTGTAAACCTACTTTTGCCTCACCCTGTATTAAATTATATCCTGTTATGTATTAAAAGGAAATTTGATACCACCCACTATATATGGAAAACCAGATTCGCTTGCCATTAATAGAAAGTAACTATAAAAAGAAATATAATGACAACAAGACAGTTTAAAATTCTAGCTGGATTCCCCTGGCTGTGGAAGGCTTTGAACCTGAGGCCTGCTCTTGGTTGAGAAGGGAGCAATCGGCAAATGTTAGTGAGCTGTTATATTACAGGTGCTTCCGAGGGGATCAGGAATAACCTCTCACTGTTCACTGTCGTTTGATGGATCAGCTGGGTCTCCCACGAGGACCCTGAGTCCCGTACTTTAGAAAACACCCCTTTTTAAGTATCACAGGATGGGTCCAATGTGTTGTTTTAGGATAGTGAATGATTCCATAAGACTTGGTCCCTACCTTAGGGTGACACTTGTGAAAGGAGAACAGAAAGAAAATGAATGGAACTCAGACCATCTACAAACCTTGAAGTGCGGTGGCGCCTCAGAGCAATGGATAAACCGGTGCCAGGGACAGAGCAGGCTGGCACGGGGAGGTGGACTTAACAGGAGACCCTTTTGTGGGCCATTCCTCTCCACAAAGCCTAGATGTTCTCATTTCTACTAGTCGGGGAATGACTTGATTTTTTTGTCCACACATTTGTAAAATGGAGTGAAAGATCCTGGATACCCCGTGAGGGTGCTGTAAGGATGGGATTGAAAAGTGAGTAAAAAAACACGCCTTTTCCACCGTGGGACATGATTGTCCAAGTAATAACGCTGAGCTCCAATGAGGTCAGTGAATTGGTGGGCTCGAGGGAGCGAGCACAGGGTGTGCCAAGCTCTGAGCGGAGAAAGGACGCAGTCTGGTGGCCAGTGGGCCCCTTCTTCCATCAGTGCCCCCTCGTAACGGGGAATCAGGGCAGTTTGGTGGCAGCAGAGTCCTAGGCACCTGAATGAGTCTCGTTCCACCTTTTATAGGTCTGTCTTTTTTTAAAACATATTTTTAAAAATTTATTTTGAGAGAGAGAGAGGGGAAGGGAGAAGAAGAGAGAGTAAGAAACATCAATCGTCTGCCTCCTGCACCCCCCTACTGGGGATCAAGCCCACAACCCATGCATATGCCCTTGGCCGGAATCAAACCAGTATCCCTTCGGTGCACAGGACGCCACTCAACCTGGCGATCGGCCAGGCTTTTACAGGAGGACCTGCTGCCTGTGCTGCGGCCATGCCTCAGAGATGTGGAAAAATGAGCAGGCAGGGGGTTCAAAGTGGCTCTACCAGTGTCCCTGTTCCCTTCCAGGTACCAGGATCATCTATGACCGCAAGTTCCTGATGGAGTGTCGGAATTCACCTGTGGCCAAGACACCCCCACGGGACCTGCCCACCATTCCGGGGGTCACTAGCCCTGTAAGTGACGAGCCCCCCACTGAAGCCAGCCAGAACCACCTGCAGAACAGCCCTGAAGATAAGCCAGCAGGCGGTGAGTGGCCGGGCTTGGCCAGGGTCTTCTTTGGGATGGGCATGTATGTGGCCTGAGAATCCTCGCCACTAGGGGGAGTTCCAGGGAGGGACTGATGGTGACTGTCTCACCTGTGGAGCAGCTCAGAGTCCAGAGGGTGGGGGGTAAGGATTGGGTGAATGGTGGGGAGAACTTTCATCAGTACCAACTTTCCCCATGAAAGGGGCCCAAGAACCACAGAAAAGATGATTTGGCCTCATCAGTAATCTAATCAGTGGGGAGTTTGATTGAGATGGAAGAGGCCCCACATAGCAACTTTCCTAAGTATGCCCCTTTATATAATTGTTCCTAAAGCTACACCTTGCATCTGCAACACTAGAAACACATCCACGATATTCATGTGCAGGAGACAACTTTTCAAAGACATGGTGTACTTGTCCTCCAGGAAATTACATGTCTACAGGCTCAGAAAGGCATCCAGGATGCCTTCTGTCAGGGTGTCATCCACTAATGGATTCTTGATGAATAGTAGAAACGCAGCCAGTTATTTGCAGGTTTGCCATGGGGTCTCTAACCCCTTCTGATCCCTCCTTCCTTCCCCCCAAGTCATCAGAACAGCCCCCCGGCAGAGGTGTGTGTGAATGTAATCTTTGTGGCACCGTGACTGGCTCATCAGAGTGTCTAAGCTTTCCCACTATGGGAGGATGCAGTGTAAGCACTTGTAGACAAACGGAGTCAGCCTGGGACTCGCCCGCCCTTCACCCAGAAGGCAGTACACCAGGCCCGACAGGAAGCAGCTGGGACCTCGGGCTGGGCTGGCTCTGCTGACAGCAGCAGAATCCATCTACCAGGAGCCTGCAGGACATGAATCATAATTACCTTGGGAACCCCACAGCCCAAGACAGGAGACAGTTGCCTTGCCTTTCAGGCTTGGAGAGCAGTGGAAGGGTGGGAAGAGACACAGAGAGCGATGAGGACAGCACCGGGTATCGGGGTTTCCTGCAGTGTGTTAAAGGATGGAGAGAAGGAGGAACAGATTCATGTGGCTGGTGGCACGGTGCCTCCTACCCCTACTTTTTGCTTCAAATCAAAGACTGGAAGTTGAGGGTGGAGGTGCAACTCCTGAAGTTTTTCTAAAAAAATATTTCTATTGATTTCAGAGAGGAAGGGAGAGGGAGAGAGAGATAGAAACATCAATGATGAGAGAGAGTCAGTGATTGGCTGCCTCCTGCACACCCCACACTGGGGATCGAGCCCACAACCTGGGCATGTGCCCTGACTGGGAATTGAACCTTGACCTCCTCCTGGTTCATAGATTAATGCTAAACCACTGAGCCATGCCGGCTGGGCACTCCTGAAATGGTTAAGTCACCATTACCTGAAGGCTGTCCCTTGTCCCCACTTGCATATTCTCTTATTTCCCAGTTTCTAGAGCTGCTTTGGCCATAACAAATGCAGGGTTGGCCCAGTGGTGCCCCAGGCAGCAACCTTACCCACAATAATAACCTAGTAGTTTCTCACAGCTGTGATGGGGTGTGATGGTAAGGGAGGGACATCATTTTTCATTTTGCTGAACTGGATGTAAGAAGCCAAGGCTCCTGGTCTTGGACCCATATATTTGTGTTAATGTAACCAGAAGGAGAGGCCAGTTGTTTCTCTGTGGGGCTAGAGCAGGCATCTTACTATGTAGAACCTTGGGCCTTGCCCAGGAGATGCTGAATGAGGCAGTTCCATTAAAAAGAAAACCTGCAGCATGAATGCCTTGGAAATTTTAGTGGAAACTGAGGGCAGTGAGTGGCTGAATTATTATTGCAGGGTCAGGCTATTCCATGGGCAATCAGAGTGTGCTGAGTGGGTTATGGTATCATTTTCTTAACCAAAAGTTGGGACACATGTGCCAAAAAGCTCTATGGAATAATTAAGGAACATTTTTCTATGAAATTGTATTCATGTCAATTCACAAGTAATCATTCATTCTTATAAAAAAATAATAAAAAGTATTCAAAATTCAGGACTATCACCTCTCCTATGGGAGACCTGGCCTCTGTGCTTTTGGGATTGGGGAAGAGAGCACAGCTAGACAGGGCACCTTCAGATCGATGTTTCCAGGAATACCTAGTGTAGTCCTGCCTTCTCTCCATTCTCCTCGGCAACATAAATCTGGCCTCTGCTCTTCTTGTAGGAACACCAGAATGAAAAGATAACACATCTCCCTGGCTTCTAAAATGTCAGTTCTAGTGGTTGAGCGTCAACCTAGGAACCAGGAGGTCACAGTTCGATTCCCAGTCAGGCTGCGCTTGGGTTGCAGGCTCGATCCCCAATGGTGGTGTGCAGGAGGCAGCCGATCAATTGGTGGTTCTCTCTCATCATTGATGTTTCTATCTCTCTCTCCCTTTCCTTTACTTTTTGAAATCAATAAAAATCTATTTTAAAAAATAAAAATATCCCTAGCTGGTTTGGCCGAGTGGATAGAGCGTCGGCCTGCAGACTGAAGGGTCCCGGGTTTGATTCCGGTTGAGGGCATATGCCCCGGTTGCGGGCTCAATCCCCAGTAGGAGGCGTGCAGAAGGCAGCCGATCAATGATTCTCTCTCATCATTGAAGTTTCTGTGTCTCTCTCCCTCTCCCTTCCTCGCTGAAAACAATAAAATATATTTTAAAAAATAAAATGTAAAAATAAAACAAATGTCAGTTCTACCAATCACCATTGCTCTGTCCTTTCTCTCACCAGGTGAAGAGTCACAGTTTGAGATGGACATTTAAAGGACCAGCCAGCAGATCGAGCAATGCCTCTGGGCCTCTCTGGCCCTTCTCCGGAGAAGAGTCACACCGCCAGTTATCATCCTGGGCAGGCATTGGGTGGGGGTCGACCACCCCAGTCCTCTGCTCCCTCAGTCAGGGCACCAGTCCCCCCTTCCTCTTGGTGAACACCAGCAGATACCTCTTTGTGCCTCCATTCATGCAAGAGCTGGCACCCCAAGGGGAGTGACTCTCAAGAGCACACACCCTGCAGCCTGGGGCCAGGAAGTGGACTTGGAGGAGCCCTTCTGAATGACCATCGGCTCTCTTCCTCTGAGGGCACACCACCCCTTCCTTAAGTTGGTGTGCTTGGGGAAGTCCCCCTCCCCTACTTCCTCAACAGAGGAAATAAAAGCCACCTTTGCCCTTGGGCCAAAACTTGGCCCGTCTGAGCTTTTTTCTACTCCATGGGGATAGCTAACACCAACTACTCTGCACAGTGCATGTAAAGCACTTTCCTATACATTATCTCCTTCGATTCTCATGCTGATCTGTGACGGAAGTAGAGCAAGTGTCATCCTCACTTTACAGCTCGGAAGTCAAAATCACACACTAGCAAAATGAGAGATGGGACTGGGTGTGAACTGCGCACTCTCCATCTCTTGTTTTTCAGTGGTGGGCGCCGCCTCTTTTCTGGGCTTTGTTTCCTAAGCCTGGCAAGTGACCTGTCACCTTCACTCTGTGCTTCGTTCATGCAAGAATCAAAGGGAAGAGCCTGAGCCTTGGCCAATGTAGAGCCTCTTTGATCCATGTGCCCCTGATATTTGTTGAGTGATCCCTTTGTGTGAGTTGCCATTGGGGATACAAACATGAGACAAGCCCTCTCTCTCTTTTTCACAAGCTCTCTGCTTTACCATTTCATTGAAACATACAATTTACCCATTAAGAAAAGTAGCACAAAAGAGATTATATAGGATTAGTTACCAGCAAGTGGTCCATGTAAATGGAGGTGACATTACAGCTGGTCCTGAGAATGAGAGGGTTGGGTGGAGGCAGGGGCCCAGTGTTTCCGGGATCAGGTGGTCTTATGGATTCAGGATGTGCAAAGACAGGACATCAAGTTGCCTGCTTTGGCCAGAGCAGGCAATTTATGTGATTGGAAATGGCTTTTATAAATGTCTAAAAAAGGCCTGATCTCTAAGGGACTCCAAGCAGATGTGGAGGAGCCCTTCTGAATGATCTGGCTCTGTAAGCACTTTCCTAGACATTATCTCATTTTTGATTCTCATGCTGATCCTGTGACAAGTAGAGCAAGTGTCATCTCATTTTACAGCTTAGAAGACCAGCTCAGAAGTTAAAGTCACACACTAGGAAATGAGAGATGGGCCTGGGTTTGAACTGGGTGTTTGCTGAGAAACAAGGTGTTTCTCATCATAGGCTGGGGGGTGATGGCCTCTGGCCAAGAGGCAGTGGCTGACATGGACTTGACAAGCTCTGTGCTCATAGCACTGGTCAATCTGCTGTTTTGGGAGAAGCAGGCCTTAGTGGCCAAGTCCCTGGCCTGGCCTTTTCTGTAGCTGAGTTGGAGTCCCCTTCCTGCAGCTGGAATCCATGTGCCTGGTGATGATATGTGGAAGGGCCCAGCCACAGTGGCCTGTTGACTCTAGGCACACAGCATACCCTTTTTGTATAACAAGAAAGTGAAACCATGGAGAGACCACCACCACCAGAGCAAAGAACAACTAAAGTTCCAACTAGGATCAAATGAGATCTGATCAACCTTCCCAATCCCTTAGCTTTTCATTGAAAGCACCTTACTCTCTCCCCTCCTGACCAACCAGAGGTCTTGCCCACAAGTCCACATGATCCGATCCATTCCTCTTCTTCTAGGTGCTATATTTCAGGATCCAAGAGACATTAAAAAAAAAAAAAATCAGCTTCTCTGACAATAAGAACATTGTTCACAAGTTTCTTCACTTTCTTCAATCTTTCTCATTGATTGAAAGTATCCTCCAGAAAACCCAGGTATTTCTTGAGCATTATTCTGGCTGGATCATGTGGAATAACAAAGACCTTAGCCTTGAGGAAGTTAAAATCTTAGATACCAGTAAGGCTCCTGTGGTCCAGTGTAAGATCCCAGTGTATGGAGTCTTAAGGCTTCTCTAGAGATACTCTAGGAAACCATCACAGTTTGGCCTGCTCACCCTCTAGCATCAGCAAAAGCACTGTTTGCAGTCGGGGAAACCCAGTTGACTGTGGAACAGAGCCACATGCGATGAATAGGAAATAGAAGGGTTTTAAGCTACGCTGTGTGTTCCCAAGGAGCTGACAACCTGATCTGGAGATGACAGGTTCTATGAGTAGTAGAAGGACACCCAGAAATGTCATAAAACAATATGTGATTGTCCAAGGGTAGGAGGCTGTGTTGATGCCACGAGTTAAGAGAATCAGATTCCAGCAGGATTTTAATTTGGGGAGCGCCTTCCTGGATCATGAATGGCCTGAGGTACAGGGGCCAGGAGAGAAGTTTAGCTGGAGGAATGTCAAAGCTGTTGGGTTTTCCATTCATAAATGAAGAGGCTGAACCAGGTTGGTGGAAATGGTAATAGGCTACTTTGGAAAAGGAGGCTTAACAGCACTTGGTGAGGTAGGAGAAGAGATGCGTCAGAGATTTCTGGTCTGTGAGTCTCAGGAAAGAGGTCAGAAAGAAATGCCAATTTGGGAGCTGCACAGAGTAAACAGTAAGAAGGGCAAAAACAAACTTTGGGGAATGCTCCCAGTGAGCATGAGTGGCATATAGGGACCTGAACTTCCAGTAATTTTCCAACCTCCACACGACTGTTGGCACAGCTGTGGGCATCCCTCCAGGTCCCAGGGCGTCAGGTGAGGTAGGGAGGAGGCCATCTTTTGACTGGCACCCTTTAGTATGATATTCATCATTGTTGAAACAACTCAAGGAAAGCTCAAGGACACATAGCCAACCAAGAAATCCCAAGGCCTGAAACCAGTACTTCAGGAAGACCTGGGTTCTTTAAAAGACTCGGCAAGTGGTCTTTTCCAGATATATCCAACCTCATTCTGATTTAACAAGCCTTTGTTAAATCTCTTATCCACACCCAGCATGATGCTAAGGCAGTGGTTCTCAACCTTGGCTGCACATTAGAATCACCTGGGAATCTTTTTAAAATCCTGATTTCTGGGCCTCATCCTCCAGAAATTCTGTTTCTTTGTTACTAATGTTGTGGCCCCACCCCATAACAAAGAAACAGAATTTCCGGAGGATGAGGCCCAGAAATCAGGATTTTAAAAAGATTCCCAGGTGATTCTAATGTGCAGCCAAGGTTGAGAACCACTGTCTTAAGGCAATACAAGAGAATTTCAAGACAAACACCTGAGAAAAAATAATCCCAGGAGGCATGATTAAGTGCAAATAAGTGGAGTGAGAGTGTGACAGGTCAGCAGGAGAGGAGCGGTTGAAGAGTGCAAAGGATTCGGAGGCTGTAGGGAAACTGCCTGAGCACAGGTGTGCTGTCTGGAATGAATGTAGTGTGTGAGACCGAAGTGTGCTGGGTAGCACAAGGTAAATTCAGATACCGTAGCTTTAGATTATCGAAACAAAAAGCATTGGTTGAATGAATGCCTTCTGCATTCTGGAGCTTTGCTACAATCTTATTTATGGTCCCCATCACTTAAAGTAGGTGTTTTTATTCCCGTTTTATACATGTCCATGGCTAGTGTATATCAGAATTGGGATTCCAGCTTCTGTCTGTCCAGTATGAAAGCCCATCCTCATTATAACACATAGGTTGGAACTGAGATCTGGGCTGTTTGGAGTCTGAGCAGTAGGCAACTAGGATGTTGGTTAGAGGTATTAGAGCAAGGCAGTAACAGATTGGGTTTAAGGTAAATCCGGAGGAAGAAAGCAGAGTCATTCAGATGTTCAGTGGGTTGCTTAGACTTAGTGGGGTGGGGGTAGGGAGACAAAGGAATGAAAGAAGATTGATAGCATTTTCTCATTTATGGAAGGGCTATTTATTTAGTGCCTACTATGTGCCTATGTGCAGGCACTGTTTTATGCACTAAAGAGAGCAATGGGCAAAACTAAGCCTTTCAGAAGCTCGTATAACACCTCTAGGAATTGAAGCCACGTGTGTGATTCCTGTGTTGTGCATGCAGCTTTCATTGCTGAAATCAGAAACCTGGCCTCCTCACAATTCAGTTCAGAATTTAGCACGGCCAATCCTCCCTGCCCCCACTGAGCAGACATGTGCTCCTTGCTGTGGGGACGATTAATCCTGCATAGAAGAGCTCTGACAGGCAGCAGACACCGCTGTTTCTGGAAATAACTTGAGCAAAGCCACCTCAAATGCAGCAGATTAAATAGGCATGAGAAGGTAAGGACATGCAGGTTAATTGGGGAAAAGTACAATCCTTAATGATTAGGTTTCCTTGAATGAGTGCGAATTCAACGTATCCTGCAAGGAAAGTGGGAGAGGACGCCCCACTGACAACGTGGAGGGGAATCTTCCCTTCCCCAACTGTTCAGAGACCATAGAACAGGAAAGCCAGTTTTAAAGGAAGCCCTTTGACCCTGGCCTGGTAGCTCAGTTGATTAGAACGTCCTCCCGATACACCAAGGTTGTGAGTTTGATCCCTGGTCGGGGCATATACAAGAAGTGATAAGTGGGCCGAAACCGGTTTGGCTCAGTGGATAGAGTGTCAGCCTGCGGACTGAAAGGTCCCAGGTTCGATTCCGGTCGAGGGCATGTACCTGGGTTGCGGGCACATCCCCAGTGGGAGATGTGCAGGAGGCAGCTGATCGATGTTTCTCTCTCATCGATGTTTCTAACTCTCTATCTCTCTCCCTTCCTCTCAGTAAAAAATCAATAAAATATATTTTTAAAAAAAGAAGTGATGAATGCATAAAAAAGTGGAACAACAAATACATGTTTCTCTCTTTCTCTCTCTCTCTCTCTCTCTCTCTCCCCCAATACTTCAGGAAGAGCTGGATTTGTTAATAGACTCAGCAAGTGGTCTTCCTCGGTCTCTAAAATCAATATCTATTTCATGTTTAGTAATATATTTTTATTGAAGCATAACATACAGAAAAGTGCACAAATCAAAGAAGTACAGTTGAAATGAATTTCAAACTGAATACACCTGTGTTAAAATTAATATATATTTTAAAATAAAATAAAGGAAGCCCTTTGAGCTGTAGCCCCTTACTCTTAAATTTTCAAGAGGAATGAAGGTTAGTTTCTAGTTACAATACTCAACATGGTGCTGCCTCCTGCTGGAAGCGTTCCTTAAAACCAGGAAGGAAGCATACATCTCAGGAACAGTTATTCCATTCCATTTGTTTAGGTGAAGGAAAGTGAAGGGTGCTACATGCATTCTAGACCCGAGCACACTTCTCCACATTTTCTCAAAATTCGCAA